AGGCTCCCTAGTGAGATCCAAGTCTAATGTCGGAGGCTCCAAGCTATCGGAGGGCAGCATCTCACAGGCATTACTCAGTGAAGAAGGCAATATAATACACATTTTATCCCTATGCTCTTTCCTTTTTTTTTTCTTAATCCTCACCCAAGGGTGTATTATTATTGATTTTAGAGAGGAAGGGAGAGGGAGAGGGAAACATTGACCCATTGACTCCATATGCACCCCAACCGGGGATAGAATCCGCAGCCTGGGTATGTGCCCTGACTGGGAATGGAACCTGCGACCTTTTAGTGCACGGGATGATACTCCAACACACTGAGCCACGTGGCCGGGCATCCGTATACCACTACCTGGGTATGTGCCCTGACTGGGAATGGAACCTTAAATGTGTTCAGATCTAGCAAGGTTCCATTTAAGCTATTTCCATTTAAAATGGAAAGAAATACCTATAAACATTTTATTTTTCCTGGATTGACCCACATATATAAAAAGGTGCTAACTATTGATATTTTAAAAAACTCGATTTTTAATTATTAAACTACTTACTGAAGTAGGAGCTGTGATGTGGCAGCCTGTGTTGGGATTTATAATAAGAATATGTATTTGGTCTTCATACCCAGTTCTGGCACAGAGCTAAGGAAAACCTTGATATTTCTAAGTGGTGAAGGCCAAAGAAGTCTTTTGTTGTGTGACTGAGGTCACTTCAGAAAGCCCCTAGGTAACCATGTGACTGGAGGGTTGGAATTTTCCTGTGTGTCCCCCCTCCACTCCCAGTCACACACACACACACACATACGCACACACACACATACGTTGGAATTAAGTGCAGAATCCTTACAATACACAGAAGATGCAGTGTTCATTAACCATGAAAAATGCCCCACCTTACTAATAAACAAATACAAACTGGAATGAGATCGCCTTTTGCTTTTCTGTTGGGGAAGAGGAACGTTAACACTAGCATTGTGATATAACCGATTCTGCAACCTGCAGAACCTGCAGTTTTTAATGTTTGAGCCAGTTCTAAAGTATGTGCTACTGATCATTCTGAGAGGGCTGACTGCACGGTAAAGAGACTGCACGAATTAACATGATAAGCCCCACGTCAGTCACTAATGACTGACCCTATACTTTTCGTCCAGAAGACAAAACAGGCTGGGCACTTAACATGTTAACCTAGGTTAGCATGGATCTATTGTACTTTCTAAATAAACATGGAGCCTGGCCGGTGTGGTTCAGTGGTTGAGCATCAACCTATGAACCAGGAGGTCATGGTTCGATTCCTGGTCAGGGCACATCTGGGTTGTGGGCTCGATTCCCAGCGGGGGAATACGCAGGAAGCAGCTAATCAATGATTCTCTCTCATCATTGATGTTTCTATCTTTTTCTCCCTTTCCCTTCCTCTCTGAAATCAATAAAAATATATTTAAAAAAATAAATAAGTAAACATGGAGCCTCTACTAAACTACAGAGGTATGAATATAAATTTATAAAACTTACCACGAAGTTTGGAGCAGAGCAAGACTGAAAGGACTGCAGACACCCACTGTGCCTTCTGGTGTCTCCGGTTGATCTCTACCCGGCAAAGTGACGGTCCGTGCAGGCAGCACTGTGGGGAGAGCCTGCGGTCCTGTGGTCAGTGCTTTCCACGAGAGACGGCCAGCACGTAACCCTAGTGCTGACCAGAGCCTGGCATGAGGAGTTCTATCTTGCAGGTGACAGGTTACTGGTGAGAGATCACTCCTGTAGCTATAGGACTTGAGCGTGAATATTACTGCTGCAATTCTAGCTGTTTCTATAAATAACTTTCCCCATTTATGTATTTAAAAGTGTTCTAGCAAATCCTCCAGCCAGCTAAGTGGTTCTGTAGGCTTGTATCTCTTCGCTGCCGTACACTGCACTTTTGAACGGGGTGCCTGGTAGGTGCAGGTTTCTAGCATCATTTACCTGTTGGCTGTGGAGCCAGGATGACTCCCCAGGGCGGGCCCTGCTGGCTGTCCCATGTCCTGCGTTTCCTTCCTGTTGCCCCACAGGTGGGGGCGGAGAGGGGAGGGCACCAGCAGATCTCGGAGACGCCTTGGGTGTCTGTGGTGCCTGGTGTGGCCGCCCGGTGTGGGGTGACTGTAACATTAGTGTGTGTGGCCTCGGGCATCCTGTGAGCCCGTGAGCCTCGGTTTCCTCCTAGGAGAATGGCAGTGACATTGACTCCTGCAATCACTGGACAGATTGTCACTGAGTCCTCGGGGGTTTCCCCGGGGGCTTAGCAGGGCCCTGCCAGGCACAGGGAGCAGCTGCGAATGCCAGCTCCTGTGGCTACGGACCAGGTGGTCCTTTCCTTCCTTCACACCTGCCCTTCGAGGGCTTAGTACTTACGTTTCTAGCGTCTTCAAACACGTTTGTCATTGTTAAAGGGACCAGATCCTTTTTTCTAGAGAATCCTTTTTAACAAGGGAAATATATGTCTTAATCAAAAAGGTACAGAAGTTCCCTCTCCCTTTTCTGAAGGTTTACTTTTGAAGTGAGAGTCTATCTCCTTAGCATGATGAAATCGCGTGCCGTGCTGCTCCGTTCTGCCCGGGACGTGAATCACCCCTCTGCCCAGCGTATTCCGCACCCCGCCCGTTAGTCACTCGGCAGTCATCTCTGTTACCAGAGGACTGTCACGGTATCGCAGAGCTTGTGTTCAGGTAAACCTTACTCCTCTTCCTGTGCCTCATTTCCAGATGAAACTTTATCATAGGGATGTGCATAGGGGAAAAACATAGTAGATGTTTATAGGGTTCAGTACTATCTGTGGTTTCAGGCACCCACTGAGGGTCCTGGAACGTATTGCTCTGTGAATAAGGGGCGACTACTATATATGTGACTTTGGTGGAATCATGGCTTTATCTTCATAATTAGACTTGTGTAGCAAACAATCAACTTTAAAGAAAAAAAATGACCTCTTTATTCTTTCCAGATTAGTCTTTAAATTTTTTTAAAGAAAAAAATATATATATAATTGATTTCAGAGAGAGAAAGGGAGAGAAAGATAGAAACATCAGTGATGAGAGAGAATCATCATGTGGCCGCCTCCAGCACGCCTCCTACTGGGGATCGAGCCTGCAGCCCGGGCATGTGCCCTGACTAGAATCAACCCTGACCTGGTTCATAAGTTGACGCTCAACCGCTGAGACACACCTGATGGGCAGATCACTCTTTGAGGGTCTACATCAGTCTTCACAGGGGAAATGGTCACACTTGGGTTTATGCATTGTCTTTTCTATATTAGGAAGTTGTGCTTAATTGCTTCCAGCTTGAGCATTCACTCATATGAACCTGTAATCACCAAAAGAAAGAGGGGTCCGGCTTGTTAAATATGGCGGAGTCCCCTGATGGGAAATGTGCACAATGGTGGGGGGAGCGATTGTTCTCCCTCCTGTCCACCGCTGCTGGCCTTCCCCACGTTTACGTCAGCCTAGCCATGGTTCTGACTGCTCTGAGACCCTGTGGAAGGCACCTTTGAACAGGAATGTGCTGTGGTAAAGAAATGCCGCTTTAAAGCCTGTGTTTGTTTATTAATATGGATATATTCACAACTGTAGCGTGAAACAAGGAGGAATTTAACACTAGACATGCATGTGACACAGCCCCCGCGTGAGGCCACAGTTGGAACTTTATAAGCCACAGAGCACGCGGTGTCTTCTTTCCCCTGGGGTGTCATCCTGGTCAGACAGGGATTTCGCTGGAAATTGAGAGCTGCTGTGCTGGTCACGTGCTGCCTGATAATCCTTGTGTGTTTGCAGAGAGAGAGAGAGAGCGCTCAGGACGGCGAGTCAGTGCTGAGCAGCTTGTAGTAGAGCTTTTAAAAAGGTTATCTGCCCTCTCCCTCGTTTTTATTTGCTTAGTTCCTTGTATGAGGATGTTGAGCAGCAATTCGTATTTTCCCTCCTTCTCTCAAAGACACTGTGTACAGTGCAATTTTAACCTGTCCCAGAGGCAGTGTGATGGTGGCCATGATCCAGAGAACTCGCCCTGGGGCATGTGCTGACTGCTTGGCTCTGTGTTAAGCATATAATTATATCACCTCTGTCAGACCCCATTGCCCCACGAGGGGGTGCTGCAGGTCCACAGCTAGTCATGGGGTCTGGCTTCACATAGACCCATGTTCCTAGCCCAGCCCTCCGTCTTGCTCACCCACCCCCTTAAAGTTGGTCAAATCTGTGCAAAGAACTAGAAATGGGAAGTTGTCCTACTTGGGAATGAAAACTCTTACTGTGATGAAACATTATACTCTACGCCTGACAACCCTCACCCTTGACCTTGTTTTCCTTGATGCAAAGAAGTCTAGGTCTAAGGGAGCAGATGATAAAAGGAGACATAAAAATAGTTGACTACCAATGGTCTGATTTGAAGTTTTACTGGGAAAGTTCTCTCTTCTTTTTCTTTTAGGACCATTTTTCTATTTTCTATTTTAGAAGAACTTAATACACTGCAGAGCCCTCGAGGTTCAGGGCAGACCTAGGGCTGAGCAGTTCATCATTCTGTTCTTTCTTGCCAGCGATCCCAGCCAGGCGGCCTGTGTACTCAGGAGGGACTCAGAGCTAACTCTGTGGTGAGGCCTGGGAAAGACACTCACCTGAAATCCGAGGCCCCCTGTGCTACACGATCACGTGGCAGGTGTGGCTGAGGAGTTACCTGGCCGGGTCCCAGGAAGTGGCACCTGGCTCAGGGAGGAGGCTCCCCTTAGAACTCACCTTAGACCAGACCAATACCCTTGGCCACTGTGGCTCTCAAGTTCCTCTTTCTCCATTTAGAAAACCTTACAGTGAGGTCCTTTTGAACGGTTGGTGCTTACCTTTCTTCAGATGGAATTCTAGAAGAAGTGCAGTCGGGAGGAATGACGTGGGAAGGGGCGAGTGCGTTACAGTTTCTCTGTGTGTTTAAATCTTCAGGCAGGTTAGTCTGTGATATTACGCTTGCCTTCTACAAAGCTTTACCTTTCTTGATTTCTCTTTTAGGAATGACTCTATTTGAAGAGTTCTAAGAGACTGAAAACTTACACTATACGAAGTTGTGCCCAAGGAATGTTTTTAATCTTTTGTACGATTTCTATCGTGGAATATGCAGGCATACGGAAGAAAGCCAAAAAGGGAATATTGTTTTGCTGAAGACAGAATTCAGTTGGCGTTGAAACAAGTTTTGATTTAAAAAAGTCTCATGAGAAAATTGTCACATTTCCAGGGAAGAAAAGAGCTCATTTTTTTATCTCCCCAACTGCCTTCAGCCACCACCCCATGGTGTATACACCACAGTTTTTTCCAGTATGATCACTCTGTACAGTGGATGCATTCGTGTACAGTCTGAGCTGATGCTGTGTGTGTGTGTGTGTGTGTGTGTGTGCGCACACACACATGTACTTCTGTTCCCCCAACCTTTACTCTATGTTACTACTGGTCGTAAGAAGATTCTCTTACAGTTTAACTGCTGCAGAAGATAAAGACGGCTCTGGTAGTGAAAGGTCCCTGAGGATAACCTAGTTGGCCCTGAGAAATGGATCCCCAAGAGACCTTGGCGTCAGATGCTGGATGCCGAGACCGAGAATTCAGTGCTGACTCCTCTGCTACATCATGCCGCTCTTAGGTCACTTATAAAATATTGGGAAGTTTCGTGTTTGTTTTTATTTTAACGTGAGCAAAACAAGTCTTACTTAGTTTATTCAATAAAGGGGAAAGTGGTTTAAAGTCACAAAAACAAAATATTCTTGTTTTGACAACCCAAGTCCAAATAACAGGAAAAATCTCCGCTTCTCAAGCCAGAGGGCTGCTTTCCCCTGGCCATTTTCTTCAAGGCATTGCCGGTTCCATCTCGTAACTAATGCTCGTTATTTCAAAGAGTCGTGGTGGTTTTTTCCCTGTGGGCTTGGAAACCCTGCTTTTTTCTTTGCCTTGGGGTTATGAAACACCTGGAAGAACTCAGAGGCCAAGATAGTAAATTTACGGTAGGTCTGGGCCAAAGCCTGGGAGGGTCCACTTCCAGGGAGAGCTCCCAGGGCCGCTGGATGCTTGCTCTATTTCAGACGGAGAAAGCACATTTCTCACTTGACTCCCAGGAGGTGATTTCCATTAAAATGTATTTAAAGTATTTACTGTAAATATACTCATTCCATTCTGTTTCTGGCATCAGACTAAAGCTTCTAACCTTTTAAATGAATGGCAGTTTCAATTTCATGTGAATTTTTACTGACAACTGATTAAAAGGCGTACGTGTACACATACATCTACACAGTGGACTAGAGGAAGTCAGTGTGGAGGAAATTTCACTGAGGTCCAAAAAGTAGCAATATAGGAATTTGGGGGATGTGAATTAGTAAATATGTGTGATCTAGACCACTAGTTTTAGCTTCTTTTTTTTTTAAGAAAACATCATTTTTTGTTTGAAGAATACACTCAGAATGATGAGGGATAATATGTAAGATAGTCTTCAGCTTTAATTATTTTTTAACTTTATTCAGGTCAGAGCACTTTTTGTAATAGCAATACAACAGGCAGGAGAATACTCAAAAATATTTAAGATGGTTGTATTTATACCAACAGTACATTTTAAAGATTTTCTAATACTTGAGCAGTTTTTATCTGTCTGCAAACTATGCCAAAAGTTAAGAATTCAATATTTTCAACGCAGAAGCTTTTTACTGGTTTCTATGATCTGATAAGAGCTCGTGAGTGTTCCCAAAGTGAGTGATGTTTACAGGCCTGTGCTCTCCCCCCCGCGAGGGACGGGAGTCCGCACAGACTGACCGTGCACAACACTAACGATGATGGACTGACTGCTGGTGTAAATGAGTGGGTTGGCCGCCACCTCGATGTAAAAATTTGTAAAGGAAAATTTTCACCCTTTTGAGTGTCAAGTGTATTTTTAACTGTCTGGTTTGTACTTCTACGACTTTTGTACTACCAAAGCAGAGTTAAAAATAAAAATGTTAAATACAGTATGCTGCTTTTGAGTGATCCGATTGTTGGCGCCTTAAGTACAATGTGGGTGTGTACTTTATGGAGCTTAATATGACAGTGCCTAATTTGCGTCTCATTTGGCTGGCTTTCCTCATTGGATTTACCCGCCATGGTAACACCATTCCTCACCCCCGCCATAATGATTTTCTAAATTTGGAGATAGCCCTGGCCTGCTCACCGAAGGGCCGTGGGTTCAATTCCCGGTCAAGGGCACGTACCTGGGATGCAGGTTCGATCCCGGGCCCCAGATGGAGCATGTGCTAGAGGCAACCAATCGATGTGTCTGTCTCACATCGATGTTCCTCTCTCCTCTCTTCCTCTCCCTTCCTCCTTTCCACTCTGTCTCAGAAGGAATGGAAAAAATATCCTCAGGTGAGGATGAATCAAAAGGGGCCACTTGGGGGGACGAGTTTCACTCTTAATCAGCCTTTTGACATCTCCAGCACAGGTGTAATGCAGAAGGTGGGGGGTGGTCACTGTTCTGCTCTTCTGTCTTCCTCAGCTTGTCAGGGAGCAGTGAGCAGTGGTCCCACGTGGAGACAGAACGCCAGCCCTGCAATGCCCGCCTGAACCATGAGTGCAGCTCGCCCAACACACACAGGGCCTGGGTGAATTTTCCAGGGCAACTGTCCACGGCCGGGGATGCTCCTGCACTTCCTTCTCAAGTCCATGGTGATATGTAGGCTCTCTCCACCCTAATACAGCCCTAACGTGGAGGAACCCTGCCTTCCCTCCCACTGAGGGCAGGAATGTCGGGGCCAGGAAGTGGGGTCCCACGATCCAGCTCTGGTTGCCGAGGGCTCAGCTGTGGTCAAAGGGGTCTCTGTTTTGCACCCGAGGTCATTGCCAGGTCCTGGGCCCTCTTCACCCTTTTGTCTGTGGGGCAGGTTGGTTCTACCCAGGGCTTCCTTTGTTCATTCCTCATCTTCCCCGGACTGTTCTCAGACCCCCCTGGGTGTTCCCTCATTGCAGCTCCAAGCAGTTGTAAGGACACCTGGGACTTCTTTTTGTCCCGCAGTCTGTGGCGGCCCAGCTGGGGTCGCTGTCCACTCCACCGATTCAGATGGTGTCAGGCGGGAGGTCATCGGCCTTGCAGAGCTGGCGCGCCCTCTGCTGGCCACATGCAAGAACTGCATGGCTTCTTGGCCGTTTATTGTGCTGTGTTTTCAACTGGAGCTCAGAAGGTACTCATGGTTATTTGCTGAGTAAATACAAGTCTATCTTTAAAAATGAAAGACTATCCTTAACTACTTTATGGAAGTAAAAATTCAAGTTTGAGGTTTCCCTGCCCCGCTTTCTGACCCTGGCCGTTTCAGTCTCTCATCAGAAAGCCCCGTTTCCTCCCTGGGAGCGGCGTCCCTGCAGGTGTGACCTGGACCCGGTGGAAATGACTGAGCCACGTGTTGGAGGAAGCCCACGCCCTGAGCCTGTGCCGGAAGTGCTGTGACTGCGGGAAGCAGTGTGATCTTCAACAAGTAGCCCGGCCTTTGCTTTTGAGTTGAACAGCGGCTCTGCCACTCACTGCTGTGTGATATTGGGAAAATTACTCTACCTTTCAGAGCCGCACATTCCTCGTCTGTACGATGACCTACCTCACGGGGTTTTTAAAGATCAGAAACATGAGTGCACAGTGACAGTGCCTGGGGCGAGCCGCACGGCCCCCCGGCTCAGCCACGCGTGGCACTCAGAGACGGTCTGTGTGCGTCTGTCCCGCTGCTGGGAGCCAGGTGGCCTGCGAAGTGGCCCAGCGCACACACAGCTTATCCGAGTGTGGAGCTGAGTTAGCAACTTCTTGCTCTCAAGCTGAACCCTGAGGTTCACACAGGATCCACGGAAGAGGGGAGGGTCCATGTTTTGAGGGGTGAAAAGTACCTTGTAAAGCACAGCGTAGGAATGTAGTTGATACTACTGCCATCACCATGTGTGGTGCCAGGTGGGCGCTGGAAATACCAGAGGGAACACTTTGTAAAGCATGTGATTGTCTAACTACTACGCTGTACACCTGACACTAATACAAAATGACGTTGACTAAACTGTAGTTGAAAAAAATCCTACCTAATAAAGATGGAATATGCAAATTGACCATAACTTCATGACAAGATAGCGGCGCCCACAGCCAATAAGGAGGGAATATGCAAATTGACTCTACAAGGCGAGAGGCGGAAGGTGGCTCTGCCCGGAGTGAAGGCAGTGCTGGCAGCCAGGGGAAGGAAGGCCTATTCTTGCACAAATCTTCGTGCATCGGGCCTCTAGTAAAAAAAGCAAAAAAAAAAAGAAAAGAAAAATAAGGATGAAGAGGCAGTGCATGCCGGGAGCAGCTGACAGGCCACCAGCCCAGCACCTCTCCCTTCTGCAAATGCCACCTGCCTCCTCTGGAGAACCCTTCCTCCTCCTAGAACCCAGCCATGTGCCTTTCTTCCCCACTGCAGGCGAGGCGACCGAGGTGGGCACATGACTAGCCTGTGACCTGGCACATGACCCGCTGGTGACCTGCCTGGTGGAGCCCCTCCTTGAGTTGTTTGCCAACTGGAGCTGGAAAAAGTGTTCTATTTCTCTGGTGGCAAAAGCTACAGGCTCAGAGGCTGGTGGAGGCCAAGGTTCCTGCCATGTGGTCAGCAGCCGGTTGGAAGAAAGGAAGGGGCATGCAGAGGGAAGGGCGGCAGCCTGCTTGCTTTCAGGCCTCAGGCTCAGCTGCCCTTCGGAGTTTCCTGTGTTCCAGGGACATTCCTCTTCCTTTAACTAGTTTGGGTTGAGTTTCTATCACTTGCAACAAAAACCCATGACTAATGCAGTGACTCAGAAGGCATCACAGGGCCACCTGGGGCATCTGGCATCTGGCCCTACAGCTGTGGTGGCTCAGAGCTGCCTTGGATCTGCAGCCAGGGACTTGGCCGTGGTGTGGTTTCTGCTCTGAAATGCTTGTGCAAACCCTGTCTTTCCCTCCATGGCTCTTGGTCTTTCCTTGATTTCCCGTGGAGGGGGGCGGGGGGGGGGCGTGATTCTAGTTCCTGTACGTGCACAGCTTTGGACATTCCGATGCTTCTGGCCACCCGTGACCTTAAAATCTTTGGATCTTAATCTTCTAACTACAGCGTGAAAGTGATATGTGCCTTTGAGAGTGGTTGTCACGGTTATGAGCTTGGGCGAGTCATGTGCTTGGCCCAGGGCTGGGGACAGTCAGCGCCCATTCAGTGAGCTGCCTCAGAGCAGCCAAGCTCACACCCTCTTTAGCAAAAAAAAAAAATGATAGAACGATGGCAGTTTGGCCATTTGAGAGTCGGTGCTTGATGTTTCTGCCACGTTCACATTGCTTCATGTTTGAGGATGGACCTGGGGTGGGGGTACGGGCCCCACTAATGTAGGAGGAAGCAGGTAGAAACGGGGCCTGTAATCTACTGGGCCTGAGACTCTCCCATCGCCAGGTCACAGACCTGAAGTGAGAGAATGATCTCATTGTCCTGATGGTGAATGGACCCAGATAGACAAGGTAAGGGGCAGGTTTCTGTTTGTTCTGGCTGTTGTTTATCTTATCACTCTCATGATAAGACATGAACTTGGTATAGCCATCTCAGCGGGTTTAAAGGAACTTGATTACTTTTTATCTGCAAATTAATCTAGCTCGGAAAGTTGGATAAATGCTCTTGGAATTGTAACATTATACCCAATGGCAAAATTCATGGGTTTGCCTATTGTGGGTGAATATCTTAATGTTGACCAACACAAACAAACATCAAACAAAACCACCCCTCTGAAATAAGCCAACCCTGCCAAGTCGAAAGTTCTGTCTTGCATTAGAAATGCATTTTGTTTTATAAAAGCTTATCTGGGGCAAGGAAGGATACATGAAGTAGATCGAGCAAATATTCATTTCAAACACAGTGTGACTTAAAATTGTAACATAAATGGCTGTATGTTCTATGATGGTCACGTCATAAAAATAATGAAAATAAATAACGAGAATTTTCAAATTATATTTGAAGTGCCCCCAAGATTTTTGTCTTGAGATGATTATGAATAATGTAGGTAGAAAAGCACGTACCTAGTTTAGGAATTGTTTAATGTTATTAGGAGTGACTCAGAGAGCTTTGGTGGTCACAGAACTCAAAATTTAGTTAATAAAGAATGTGTTATGCCCTGGCCGGGTAGCTCAGTTGGTCAGAGCTTGTCCAAATACACCAGGGTTGTGGGTTTAATCCCCAGTCAGGGCACATACAAGAATCAACCAATGAATGCATCAATAAGTGAACAAGTTGATGTCTCTCCCTCTCTCTAAAAATCAATCAATCAATAAAAAATGTTAGAAAGGAATACACATGGTGATTGTTGCGTTCCCTGAAATTCGTGGTCATCTGTTAACCTTTTCAAGCAATTGTTTTGCAGAAAAAGAACATTTAACACTCAGCAGGGTTGTTAGTCACGGCAAAATATCGACAGCAGCTCTGAAATGGAAAATTAGGTACATATGCAGAAGTGTGTTTCTGTGCAAGGGAAAGGGGCCTCCCCTGCCCCCTCTCATCTGAGTTTCCTTCCTTTAGCCTTCTGAGAGAGATGCCAGGGGGGAGCTGAGACAGATGTAGCTGCCCAGGTCCCCTTCCCCTGGACCAAAGGCGGAAACCCCTTCTGTGTTATACTAAATGCCAATACAATGTTAACTTCTTGCAAACCGGCTCTATCCCAGTCTTGTGTGCTTTGAAGACCTGGTGTGCAAGGACTGTAGGCTGGCCGCCTCAAAACTCGAGGTCCATTTCCCCTTTCTCCGTGATTGGATCCTGAATTTCTTAGGGAAAGCCCTGCACACAAGCTAGAAAGATTAGTTTCCTTGGCCTTTCTTGCAGCTAGATGTGGCCAAATGACTGACGCTCACCAACGAGGAATAAGTAGAAAGGCTGGATTATACTTCTGGGAGGTCCTTAGTAGAGAGGGAGTGAACCATGTCAGAATGACTGTCCTTATTCTCTTTTCTACATGGAAAGCAACCA